GCGATCGTTCCTCGGTAAAGACTCAGTTGTTCAGTAAGCAGTTTTTCCACCAAAATTCTCACGTGCCCGAGCGTGAGTTTCGGACGGTTCTAAGGAACTGAATTTGAAGTCCTTTAGTCGTACATGAATATGGTGTATTACTCTAAAGTTTCAGCCTTTAGCTCTTCTCGCTCCCGAGTTATCAATTCGCCCACCAAAATCTTCATACGCTCGCACGCGGTGTCCGGACGTGCATGAAGGTTGGTACCGCGGTTCTGGGATGGCACTTGCCGAGGAACCAACTGGCAAAATTTTGGCGCCGGAGCTTGCCAGACAGACAAACAAACACACACACACACATAGGCGGGGTCGTTGCAACATGCGTTTTTTTGCATTTCTTTGCAGCTATGTAATGCAAAAACGCATATTGTCGAGGAGTTGTCTGTGTGTGTCTGTTTGTGCGTCTGTAACGAGTTTCCATCTCGAGATCCACAAAAGCTACAAGGCTGAAAATTTTGTAACTTACACACACGTACGGGCTCATATCCTCGGACACTCAGGTCAACGTGGTTCTCATTTAGAGGCACGTAAAAGTTTTGTCGCTGGAATGCGTTTTTGGGAATGGCTCAAGCTGGGAGGCTGGAATTTCACAAAGATGTTCCTTGGCCGCGTCTAATCCAAATATTTCAAATCCAGCGTTCACACACCCCTAGGTCTCACGTACGCACACATCACAATCTGAAATGGCATCATGCCAACTCTAGGTTTAAGCTGACCAATAAGCTGTAAAGAGCTGCAATTTTGCAGCGTTACTTGTTGCACATTGTTGTGCCCGTGAAAGTAAATTGAGTTGTCCAGCCCTTCTGCATCTCATGAATGAACACGTGAAAATTTCGTGCATGCACTTTTGTAGCTCAGAATTGAAACAGCCAGATGACTAGAACTTTCTTAGCACAACCAGCAGGTGGCCTTTGACTAGGTGGGCGCAAAAACGACTTATACATCTCTTCATGTCTCATGTACGTACCACGTATACAGACGTGAAACTTGGCGTAACTCCACAACCAGAACAGTTGGAGTGCTGAAATTTTCTAAGCATTACCCAGGATCGTGTTTGAGCAACCGCAGGCGAAGAAAGCGTTCACTTTTCCATTCACGCATGAATACGTGAAATTTGACATAACTCCGCAACCGAAGCATCTAGAAAGCCGAATTTTCTGGGCGTGGATTGGGAGTCATCGTAAAAATGACTAACAGTCGTGATAACTAGTCTCAATTCTTTTAGCTAGAAGCATCTGCCGGAAAGAACGTGCCACTGGTGAAAAAAAATCTGGGGAGGAACTGTGCAAAAAACGCATCACTGCACCGGCAGCCGGTGCGCTT